CCCCCATCCCGACCGTCACAAGTGTCAGATGTGGTTCTGAAAAAAAGCATTTTAAAATGTCTCCAAACTTCAATTAATGCATAATCAGTGTGCATTGCACACTATTGTGATTCGTTTCCCATCCAAGTCATCTCCTCTTTGTTACGCTTCTCCTCCTGCATACTTTGTCCTAGAGCTGCCATTGTAATTTATATCTGTAAAGCTCCTGTGCCAAATGATGGCTATGCCTTTTGGTTCCTGTATAGCGTATAGTTTTTTGAAATATTAATGTTTAATCATTTATAATGGGTGTCAATGGAACCTTGTATTGGTCCAATACTGCCCCCTGCTGCATCTACTCAGTACTGAACCATAGTTTAATAATATTTAATCACAATAGTTCAGTGGTTACAATACTAATATGACTCTATTTTGATGTTTGACTTTTATATTGTCCTAATATTGCCCTATTGCTGTGATATATTGCAGTTTAGTGTCAACAATTGCATTGGCAATGTGGCCTCTTTCAGCACACATACAAATCAACTCCTGGCAACCTTCTCTGCCACAGCTCCAATGGCTAATGGTTAATGCTGTGGGCTTTCATGTGGGAGATCAGGGTTCAATACCCAGCTACAGCAACTTTAACTAAAATTCTCTTTAAACTTCATATTGTCACACAATTAAAATCATCACAAACACCTGCTGACTTGACAGGCACAAGTTGGTAGAAAACACATTTGAACTTGGTCACATTTCATTCTGCAAGTGCAAAGCCATGCTGCAATGACGTGCTAAGTGGCAATGCACACTTGTTTTTACATTATAAAAACCCATGTCTAGTTTAAGTTGGTTTTTAGTTTGTGATCTTCGTATTAATATTGTGGTGTTATACAACAGCATTAAAAGCCAATTAAATTTAATCTAACCAAATTATGTCATTAGTTACATTTAAAATCTAATTCCAGTTCAAACAGAACAGCCTATATTGTCAACATAATTATTGAGTGTGATTTATTTTCAACTCAAAATACAGTATCTTCAAACTAATGAAATATAAAGTTATTAATGAGAAAAATCCATCTGGATAACAGCAGACTGACTGTAAAATATACGACAGGTCTGGACCGCACGAGAATTTTGTTCATATCTGAAAAAAATCTTAGATTACGAAAAAAATTGGTGAATGCCACAAAATCTCCTAAATCCATCGTACACACAACTTAAGAACAAATCTGTTCGTACGAACGGTCCTTGCATGAAGCCCATTGTGTCTAACTGAGCTTCTCCCGCAGGTTCTGGTTCAGGTTCTGGTCCTGGTCTTACCTTGATGCAGAAGGAGAAGTCTGCAGGAGCTCCGTACAGTTTCCGTCCGTTCACCACCGAGTAAACGTTCAGGTCCTCCAGATCTGCCACGAGCTGCAGGTGTCGCGGCTCCTGGAGTCCAAAACACACCAAACAAAAACCCCAACATTAAAGCAGAACTTCTGCATGGGCCAAACGGACCCGGAGAGGTTCTGCTTGGCCCGAGAGGCACTCAGAGTGTCCCACCTTGGACGAGCCTTTGGTGGAGCTGTAGAGTCCGGAGCGTCGCAGGAAGAAATAAACTTTTTTCCAGGTTTTTCGAGCGGATTCTTTAACGTGGAGAAAGCCCTGGATCTCAGGACACGTCCCGGACCTCAGCAGGTTCTGCAGAACGAAACAGAAATAGTATTCGATGAGAAGCAAAACATCTTAAAAGAAAATAATCTAATAAAAAAAGGCCAACACTCTCCCTTCAAATCCACTTCATTTCAATAAAAGACTGTTTTTAACATCAGACCCAAGGTGGTTTTCATCAGGTCCTGGTTTACCTGGATGAGCTCTGAGGACCACATCAGCAGGGGCGAAGCTAGACTTTTTTGTGGCACGAGGGTGGCCAAGGTGTTTTTTTTTGTTTGTTTTTTTTAGGGAAGAACATACAAAAAACAAAAAGCACTCTGGATTTGAAAATCCAAGATGGCTGCCACAGCTGATTCCAAATAGCTTTAATTCAGCTGTTGTAAGAAATATTCATAGCTAAAAATGATTAAATAAACATGCTGAATGCGAGTCGCAACTTATTCAGTCATACTACATGTAAAGTTGAAGATTAGGGTAGAAGTAGCTGAAAATAGCCTGGTTAAAACCAGCTCCTTGTCCTTCACTTTGCTTCGTATAGAGGGTCTGGACTCTGCTATTGAGAAGAGATTGCTTCCTGGAGGCGTGGCCTCTGTTGAAGTTTAAAATGATTGGATCTGATTTAACCAATCTTAACGGTTGGCCGCGACGTACGCAGTGCGGCAGCTGCACTGAGAAGGAGGCTAGGC